ATATATATGAAATGTGTATATGCATAAATTTATACAAATAGTTAAATTAAATTCATTTTTTCTTTTGCATTTTGTGGTTAAAATGTAGTGAATATACTCTTAAGTTATAACAATTTTTTTTTTTTAATATAAACAGCTATCTCTTATTGTACATAACTTTAATAGAGTATTTTTAGCTTACTATGATGCCCATAATGGTTTTTCCCTGTAAATTATAATTCAATTAGAGATAGTCTCATTCACCAATTTTTTTTTATTTCAGAAATTAAAGACCAGTGTGAAGAAGAACAATGTCAATCCAGAATGGAATGAAGACTTGACTCTTTCTGTTTCAAAACATCTTCAGCCAATTAAGCTCGTAGGTTTATCTTTGTTATAACAACAATATTGCCAACTCTTTCTGATAACTAAAGAGTTTCAAGATGAATGGTCATTATGTTAACAGGTTACTGCATCATTTTTTCTTTTTGAATGGTTTAGAACCATTTAGCGGTTCCTTTTTTCTTCTCAATTCTTATAAAAGAAACGAACACACACACACACACATAATTAGTTTATTTTGGGTCATCTAATGAGAGCCATCACTCTACACTTGCAACTCATTTTTTGTTTGATATAATGAATCTGTTCTCCTATACCATGTGGTGCTTCTGTTTTATTTCTTACTCATTATTATTTCACTTTTTATTGCCAAAATTCAATTATAAACAATATGGAACTTTGTGATTCATTTAGTAATTTTAGTTAGCTTATTTTGAAGTTGTCAAGAAAGTTTTAATGTTCAATCTTTGCTTTCTAGAACATCAACTTGTCTTTTTGGCCTAGACCTCGAAGGAGCATTATGAGCTTTCTACCATATGAAAATAATGAGTACCCTACTATTAGAATTATTAGCCTCATTATTAAGTTAATTACTGGTGCAGTTATTATTAGCTTTTATTTGCCTTCCTTATTTTTCTTTTTCATATTTATGCATTTCCTAGTTAGTGTATTTTTAAATTTATGTTTTTTTTTTAATTTGGGTCTTCTAATATGTATTTATAACCCTTTTTCAATCAATGAAATTATCCAACATTATTATAAAAGTTAACATGGTATTAGAACCATGGTTTGAACCGTAGAGGTTATGCCGTATTCGCATGCCACATGCAATTTTGTTTCTGTAGGTTTTTTGTAGCCTTTCTCACCAGCGGCCGGCCCCGAAATTTTTCAGTGGGACTTTCTCTCTCTAATGCAAATCCCACCCAAAAAATAATTCAGCCAGATTTTCTCTCTCTAGTGCAACTCCCAGTCGGGGTTTTCTCCTTCTAATGGAAATCCTAATCGAGAATTCCTGCCATTGACGACATTTTTTCCCTCTTTCATGCAGTTGTATGTGAAATTTTCCAAGGTTTAACTGATTCTTCCTATTTTCCTTCCGCCGCCGGCCCTTCCTCATGCAGTCGGAATCCTTCTATGTCTCGACAACCCAATATCAACTTCGGCTCCATCAGAATCATGGTACTCCACCACTGAGCCTCCTTTTGATGGTGTGCTTGAGTCCATCGAAGGATCGACACCGACCTCAATCACTACGCAGACTGGAAAACTGAAAAATCACATGAACTTCCTAATCACCACCCATAAGCTTAACGATTCCAATTTTCTCCAATGATCTCAACCCGTGTCCTTATTCGTCAAGGGACGCGAGAGAATTATCACGCTCAACATTTTCACTTCAGTTGAATCATCTGCCATGGTCACTAACAACACTCAACACTCGTCCATGCCATCTCGAGCCACCGGCTCCACTTGTGACTCCTGTCACAAACCCAACCATACTCGTGACAAGTGTTAAAAACTCAACAGTAAACCGACATACAATATTTTATGCCAAGGGTTTCACTACGACATCTGAATCTGTTATAACACAACCAACTCCCACTTGGAACACTCCAGAATCACCAGACTCTCTTAAGAGTCAGATGGAGCAATTAATCAAGCTGTTTGGATACAATCAACTCTCTTTCGACCCATCTACCTCCCGGTCCGTCGAGGTGCCATTTCTATGACGATCACCTCTTTTGTCTCTTCTAGTTCATGAATCATTTATTCAGGCGCCGCAAACCACATGACTGAATGTTCTCAAGCTTTCTCGACATATTATCCATGCTCCTGGAAATATACAGTTAAAATTGATGTTGACTCATGTAATTTCATTGCTGGTAAATGGTCGGTTGTATTAACAATCCGTCTAACTCAGGAATTTGTGTGACATGTACCTCTATTGAAGTGTAACGTTTTATCTGTCAGTAAGTTGACGCTTGATGTTGATTTTGTTGTTCATTTTTCTTCTGATGTTTGTGTCTTTCAGGATCTCCGTTTGGGCGATGATTGGAACTGCAAAGGGAGTAGTCGGGCTCTACTTCTTCCAAAAGAAATGCATTAAGAACTGGGGCTTGTCTTATGATAGTTGTAGTTTTCCTGGATCCATTAAATGTCCTATTATGTTGTTATATCGTCGTTCGGGTTATCCTAATTTTCAATATTTAAAAAAATTGTATCTATTGATGTTTACTAATAAAAACCTTGCTAGTTTTAAATGTGAGATTTGTCAATTAGCTAAATATCATCGTGTTTCATATTTATCCCACTCCTACACACTTTCACTTCTTTTCACTCATTCACAGTGACTTGTAGGGACCCTCTTACACTCACAACTACATTAATAAATAATGGTTTCTCATTTTGATTGATGAACACATTCGAATAACGTGAGTTTATATCTTAAAAGATAAATTTGAAATAGTTGTCACCTTAAAATACTTTAACTTCTTTATCTTGACACAATTCAAAATGTCAATTCAAGTCTTTCTAACTGACAATGGTTGTGAATTTTTTAACTCTATATTAGGTAAATTCTTGGTAAGGGGCATCTTCCATCATAACTCATGTACCAACACTCATCAACAAATTAGGGTAGCCGAGGGAAAAAACTGAAACTTTAAAGTGGCTTGTTCCATTATGTCTCAATCTAATATCCAGAAAAAGTTTTGGAATGATGTCGTGCTTATTGCCACTTATCTCATCAATAGAGTTCCTGTTAAAATTCACAACTTCAAAACTCCATTAGTTATCTTGATATCATGTTTCTTTACTAATCGGTTCTTCGCCTTCCTTGATCCCAAAATTTTTGGATGCACGACTTTTGTTCGGAACATCACAACTACTCGTAGTAAACTTGATTTAAGATCAATATAATGTGTCTTCCTTTGATACTGTCACTCAAAAAAGCTATCAGTGTTTTGATCCTATCGTAAATAAACTCTATGTAAGTGTCGATGTCTTATTCTTTGAAAGTGTTCCCTACTTTTCTATCACTGCCTCATGTGAAGAGGAGTTAGATTTCTTTGATACTGTTTCTTATCCGACTATTGTGGATATTTCTCTAACCACTATATCCAAGGAGCCCTCTATCCGTCTAGATCCGCCACCTACCATACAACCAAAACCTCCTCCCACCCACCGTGTCTATACTTAGTGCACTCATCCCTATGTTCCTACTTTGGAGCCCGTTGCCTCTTTACAGGACCTAGAATCCACTCCGGGCGACATATCTAGCACTAACCATAACCTAGATGAGAAAGCGAGTTCTCCTATTGAGATATGTGATTAGGCATGCTCTCTTTATTCCATGGAAAAATATCTCATTCCACAGTGTATCGTCGACCCACAAATCATTTGCTACTGTCTTGACTGATCGTCACCTCCCATCCAATATTCAGGCAACATTAGTAGACCTTTTCTGGAGAGTTGCAGTTATGAATGAGATGAATTTCCTTCAGCAGAATCATGCGTGAGATATTGTGGATTTTCCTCCGTGTAAGAAAGTAGAGGGTGCCGCTGGATTTTTAGCACCAACTTTAACTCTAATGGATCAGTTGAACACAATAATGTACGGTTGGTCACTGAAGGCTGGTCGCAAACATACAAAGTCGATTATAATGAGACATTTGCTTTGGTTGCTAAATTAAACACCATTTGGTTTTGTTGCCCCTCGCTTTGAATTTGGATTGCTCTTGGATCTCACAGAGGAGGCGTACATGTACCTCTCGAGACTTTGACTCCATTTCTTTCGGGGGACAACTGATCGATTGCAAAAGTCCTTCTATGGACTGAAACATTCCCCAAGGACCTAGTTCGACAAATTCACAAAGGTAGTAGTGGACCATGAATTTTCTCAAGCCCAATTAGATCATACGCTCTTCTTTCGATATTTCTCTAGTAGCCAAATTGTTATCCATAACATCTAGTCGATGATATTGTACTAACAGGTGATGATTTACCAATATTGGAGTCTCTGAAAATCATTCTTCTACTTCATTAGAAATGAAGGACTTGGGTCGCTCCGTTACTTCTTAGGCATGAAAGTTACTCGGTCATCTCGAGGCGTTTGTCTGTCTCAGCGCAAATATGTGCTTGATTTATTGAGAGAGAATAACCTTCTCCCCTGCAAACCAATGACGGTCCTAATGGATCCCAATGAGAAGTTAACCGATGTTCCCAATTTGGTTCCGGTGAACAAGAATCACTACCAACGACTTTTGGTGAAATTGATTTACCTCACTCAACAGGCCTGACATTTGCTACGCAGTAGATATTGTGAGTCAATTCATGCATGATCCATATGAGCACCATATCCGAGCTGTCTATAGGATCCCTCACTACTTATACGGACGCAGATTGAGTCGGGTTCATCTATGATTGACAATTTACCTCAAGATATTGCTCATTTGTGTTGGGAACGTGGAAAAGTAAAAAAATTGTCTGTTGTGGCTCGGAACAGTGCTGAAGACGAGTTTCATTTCATGTCCTTGAGTATCTATGAAACTCTCTGGTTATGCATGATGTTTCGTGAATTACGTATATCAGTCTCTGCTCTTCTCCAACTTCTGTGATGATAAAGCCGTCATTAGCAGTGCCCATAATCCGGTTAAGCTAGGTCGCACAAAGCATATAAAGATTGACAGACACTTCATTAAGAAAAAGCTTGATTTTGGCAAGATTTGTATTTCATTTGTCATATCCAATTGTCAATTAGTAGATATCCTTATCAAGAATCCTCTTCGGTCGTTGTTTGATGAGTTCATATTCAAGTTGAACATGATGAACATCTATGCTTCAACTGGAGAGAGAATATTAGAATTATTAGGCTAATTACTATTACAGTAATTATTAGCTTTGCTTCCTTTATTTTTCGTTTTAATATTTATGTATTTTCTAGTTGGTATATTTTTGAATTTATATTTTTTCTTTTTTTGGGTCTTGTAATATGTATTTATAATGAAAGTATCCTGCATTATTCTAAAAGTTAACGTCCTGTGCCCACAAAATGCATGTAATGTATTTCATGATTTCATGCAGTTGATTTGGAAAGCTATATTCTGTTTTGCGGGTTCTTGTTCAAAATGTTGATATAATGGGTAGATATGACTCCTAATGGAAGAAATCTTTGGAGCATTATATTAGATAATGGCATGGCTGCTTAAAGATAATTTTATAAGTTTGAGATTTGGCCATTTATTTTTCATGATCTTGGGTGTTACAATAAAGAAGTCGAAGTTTGTCAAACTGATAGTGCTAAATATGAGTATGTGTGCATTTTGAAATTTGGAAGAGTAGATTAAGAAATGAAAATTTAAAAAGATGATGGAGGTATCACCTTTTGAAGACATGTTATTGAGAAATAACCTCTGGTTTTTGCACATGTACTATGATTTGTAGATGATGCTCCAACAAGTCAGATAAATAAAATTAGGGAAATTTACATACATAGTGTTAGGTATGGCCATATACCAGACAAGGGATAGATGTTGGAGCAGAACGGAGCGAGCCAGAGCACTCCTTTTGCTATTGTAGTTTGAATGTCTATCAAACAAGATCTAAATGAGTTCTCACTTATTAGTATTCTAATTTAACTCTCTCTTTTTTGTCTCTAAACCAGGAAGTATATGATAAGGACACATTTAGCCGCGACGACAAAATGGGTGATGCGGAATTTGAGGTTACATCTTTCATCGAAGCAGTAAAGATGAGCTCGACCGATTTCCCCAATGGCACCACAATCACAACGGTGAAGCCATGCAGGCAAAACTGCCTAGCTGGTGAGAGCCCAATTCTTTGGAGAGATGGCAAAATAGTTCAGGAAATAGTGCTCAGGCTTAGAAATGTGGAGGCTGGTGAAATCGAATTGGAGCTAACTTGGATTGACATTCCAGGCGCTCCAGGTTTCTAAAGAGGTCTGTGCTGCAATTGACTCATATTTTGTTTGTACCAAAACATACATAGTTACTTATTTAGCCAAGTGTAAAGGCATATGTAAGAGAAATTGTCGTTGGAGTGATCAGATGTTAGTTGTTATCTTGATTGGTATTAGTGATATTTATTAAAGGGATTTCTCTTGGTTGGTAATAATCATGGATGGGTCAAAGGTGAAAGTCAGAGACGATGGTGTGGATCGCTCCAACGAACTAATGATATGATGTTATCCACGCCGTAGTCCGCATATTCGATTTATCAAACATAGGTTTTCCTCTATTTACAACGAGCATAATCGGTGAAGAATGGTGAAGAATTGCGCTCGGGTTTTGAGAGGGAATAAGACACAGAAAGAAAGAATAAATGCATTCCTTACCTTAATATCCACTAATCTATTTCCTCACATTTACCTTTATAAAACCTTCTTATTAGAGATAAAATAAATTTCTTTAAAATTTCCTAATTTATTATGACATATAGTATAAATTAAGATGAATTACATGAATAAAACTCAATCCTTATGTGTTTACATATCTAGCACCTAAACTTCAATTTTTGCATACATGCCACGTCTCAATGATTGAATAACTGTATTCCTCTTTTTAAAAGAAAATGGTGGTATTTTTGATGTGGTATGAAAATTTTGGGACTTATAGATGTAAAAGAAAGTAAAGAATGGGTGTTAGATATGTAAATACATAGGAATTGGGTGGTATGTATGTGAATGCCCCTATAAATAAATATTAAAACAGATTAAATTAAACAGTAATATGAATATGTTGACTAATCGAAAACAATTTTTTTTGAATAATTATTTTTTATGTTTAAAAAATATATATAATTATCAAATTGATAAAATATTTTAAAATATATTTTCTAAATTTTACTTATCATAATATATATATATATATATTAAATTTAGTAATTTGTTTAGTAATTATCTTTGATAAATTGTGTAATCTATTTGCTAAATGATTATATGAAATTATATACATACTTAACATATCATTCTATTTCTATGTATTTATATCCAGCACCTAAACTTTATTTTTTATATTTATGTTACCTAAATTTTTATATCACATAAAAAATATCATCATTTCAAATTTAAAAGGTACATACGATTTTTTATACATAGATAATGTGACATGTATGTAAAAAATAAAATTTAGTTGTTAAATATGTAAATACATAATAATTTAGGGGTATGTACGCAAACTTTATTTTTTATAACTTCCATAAAACACCTTCAACATTTCAATATCATTTACTGCCCTTTTGTGATACCTTATTTGGTGTGATGACGTTTTAAAAATGCACCTCACCTATTTGGGTGAACTATGTTTTGGCAGTTTATGCGTTTTCAAAACGCTGAAGACACAACATTTTCACTTATATCAGCAATATGATTTTTCCAAAAAAATAAAAATTTATAATAGCCACCACACGTAGCTTATCACCATATTATTTTTAATCAGTTTATCAATAGATTATTTAATAAGCTGCAGCTGCCTCAAGCAGACCCTTAGTCCCACATCTACAGGAGGGATATTATAATAATTGTTCAAAACCCTTGGGACCCAGTGACACATTAGCTAAGGCTCACAATGGTTGATAAACATATACTTTAAAACCCCATTTAATTTGTTAAAATTTAAAAATTGTATAGAAAACTCATTAAAATCTATATGAATAATTGATACAACCAAGAAAAAGTATACTCTTCAATAGAAGAAATTTTAGCTAAAAAATGTCAACGACGATTCTGCTTGAACAGTGATAAAGTTGGTTCACAGGTCGAATTTATTATTAAGATTTACGTCGTATAAATGAAAAAAAAGATGAAAATCTCCTTAATTTTTTATTTTTTTTAATATTTGGTTGAATTTAAGTTTAATTCAAGGCTAAATTCATTAAATTAAATAAGACTTCCAAACACCCCTAAAATTTTATCAAAATAAAAATAAAAATCTTAATTTATTTTAAAATAAAAAACAATATATATAATAATTTTTTTAAAAAATCAAATATTATTTAAATTTTAAATAACTTTAAGTTTATTAAATTTGTCCTGATTAGATTAGTACTTTTAGTTAAAATTACTGTCGTAATCAGACGTCAGAGGATTGGAAGAAAGGGTATTTTCGGTAATTCACAAAAACTCCTCTAAGTAAATAGAAAACCTAAGAGCGCCGAAGCTCTTCGTGCCCTAGGAGACGGTACGTCTTCTCCTACCTCCCGCGCTCCATAGCCAACTTCCTTCTTCTCTCTCGCCACTAAGAAAAAGGACTTTTTTTATTCCCTCTAGACCTCTTGTTTTGTCGTATATTTACACGTTGCTCCGATCTTTGTTGAATCTGTCTTTTTTTTCTCGATTTGTGTGCTTTAAGATCCGTGATTCGGGAGGACGAGCAGCGAAGTTATGGCTTTGGTGAGCATTTTAGCTTAATTGAACAGTTTGTGTAAAATGTTGCTGCAATCCTTGTCTCTTTTGCAACGGGAATAGCATTTACGTACATACCACCCAATTGATCCGTATTTATATATCGAACACTGAAATTTTGCTTTTTACCACCCAAATCTTTCTTATCATTTTATAAATGTCGCTTTTTTATTATTTTTAAATAGTGGAGTACATCATTTCATGCATCGAAATATGGCACATATGTAAAAGTTACAATCTATGTTTCAGATATGTAAATAGATAAGAATTGAGTGGTCTGCATGTAAATGTTGCTTTGTTTCTTTAATCATCACTTGCTTCTTGTCTTGGTTCCTTTATCCGAAACAAGTGGTTGTCTTGTAGCATGTATTATTGCTTAAGATTTAATATTTTTTTTTCCCTGATTGGTATGCATGTAAATCCTTAGATTTTTTTAATGAGTTTAATGGCATCGAGCAATCTCTTGCTGTTTAATGCAGTATTGTTCTTAGTTCGTTTCTTTAGATAACTTTACACAATTGCAATTTAATCTGCATGCTTGAGCCTATTTATGTTCTATTTTTTTTCACATTGTATTCTATGATTATGTAATATGTCCGTTTAATTGAAAACTTTTTAAAGTTTACTAAGGTTTCTTACTGTGACTGCGTTTGTTTTTTATAGGTTTTGCATTCTGGCATGCCAAACAAAAATGCTTTTAAGGGCCTCATTGCTGCAGAATACAATGGTGTAAAGATTGAAGTTGTAAAGAATTTTGAAATGGGTGTCTCAAACAAAACCCCCGAATTTCTCAAGATGAACCCAATGGGAAAGGTATATTTTTGCAGCATATGATATATTTCATCTATGAAACACGAATACCTTGTCTTAGGCACAGACACGGCTCTGACACGTCTCCTACACTGAACAAATCGTGTCTGGATTTTTTTATGTAAATTTGAGCCCTAACATGGTGCACACACAGCAAGGACACGAATGAATGCTTATGCAATAATTTTTTTTGATCATTATTAGTATTTATGTCGTGTTATCTTTTATGATATTATACTTCATTCGTTGATGTTTCCAGCAAAGATAGCAGAAAGTTATTTATTTTGTAACTATAATTTATTAAATATTATAGGCGCAATTTCATACAGATCACCCAAATATTGCTATTTACAAATCAACCAACTTTTTTCATCCATTTATCCAATTTTCACCCAAATATCAAAATTCATGGCACCAACCCATGTTTTTGATTTTGTATCAAATTCTCAATAGTTTGACTGTGACACACATAAATACATCGGTTTGGTAGTTTAAAAATTCATCTTGGCAGTTAATTTGTAAATATTAATGTTTCGGGTGGTTTTTATGTAATTATCCAATATTATTATATTGTTGTATACAAAATAATGTGTCAGCTAGAATCTCAAGCTAATTCGACAGCCGAAGGGAACAAGATGACAAAACTAAACATTGAAGGTGACTCGGAGATGCGGGGGAGTCAAGGACCGACGATCAGACCCTCTCTCTAAACCTACTCAACTAGGCCACCTCGCTTTCCTACCACTTGACCACCAAAATCCCACCAGGTGGCCATCCATTGGCTGGTCACCAAATCCCAATGTTTTGGCCATCTATTGGCCAACCATCCAACTCCTCTCAGCTGGCTACCCATTGGATGGTCAACTGATTTCCCCGATCACTTCAAATTTAATCGATCAACTACTTCAAATTCAGTCGGCCAGCTACTTTAAAGCCACTTAAAACCCTTCCAACCATCCACTGTCCAAAAGTCGGTCGGCTATCTCCCTCCCAAAACAGTCAACCGCCCATCTTTCGAAACAACCGATCGATCATTTAAGAGCGGATCTACTGGCTGGATGATGAACGATCTTCAACCAACCACCTCAGTCAGCCTACCGACGAGCTCCGTCGATTGATGAACTTAAAGCACCGACGACAAAAAACCAAAGTGTTATGCACCGCCCCTTTTTAAAGCAATAGTAACATTGTAATTTATTTTTGGTCCCCCTATCATCTATAAATAAGAGGACTCTTTCATTTAAATGGGCTTTTGGATCCCCCCATTTGTAACTTGTATGTTTTATGGAATAAAATGGATCTATGAGCCCGAGAACACCTCATTCGCTCCGGAGGGTGCAACTCCTTCTCTTCACTCCCCCTTTCTCTCCCCCTCTCAATCTCCTTTCCTCGATCTCAACACTCTATCTCTTGGACACAGTCTACCTGATAGATTTTGTTTCAAGATTCTTAAATGTCTGGCGAGTGTGAACGATGTCGTCAACAAGAAGATGAGCAACGCTGAAAAAAAAACCCTTCAGATATGCGCTCCTAGCAAAAAGCACAAGGGGAACTTCCTTAGCAGATCTCCAACCCTGCAAATCTATGCATGCTCTCTGTTCTCAACTTGGAGACCTCCATCGCCCTTCCCGCGCAGACATCTACATGGTTGACCTCCCCAATTTTTTTTTCAAAAGCCCAAATGTAGATATTTCCTCATTGTAGGCGTCTTCACTGCTATCAAGGAGCAGAAGATTCATTGAATTAATCATGTATACAAACAATTGTGTCAGTTCGAATCTCAAGACAATCTGACAGCCTAAGTGAAGAGCAACATGACAGAATTACGCATCAAATGTGACTCGAAGACCCATTAGAAATCAAGGATTGACGATCGGACCCTCTCTCCAAACCCACTCCAATAGGCTACCTCGCTCCTATCAACCAGCCACAAAAATCCCAACAACCTCCTAGTATTCCACTGGTCGGCCATCTATTGGCCGGTTGCCAAATCCCAATCAGTCGACTATCTATTGGCCGATCATCCAACTCCTCCCAGCAGGCCACTCATTGGCCGGTGAATTGATTACCTCCGACCACTTGAAATTCAATCGACCAACTATTTCGAATTGCATCAGCTGGCCACTTACGGCCCTTCCAGCTGTCCACTTCCCAATAGTCGGCGGACTGTCTCCCAAAACAGTCAACCGTCCATCTTCAAAACAATCGATCGATCATTTAAAAGTGGATCAACCGGTCGGCTGATAGCAGATCCAACTACCTCACTTGACCAACTCAGCTAGCCGACCGATGAACTCCGCTGATCGATGAGTCTCCAAACTTAAAGCGTCGATGAGAAATGACCAAAAGTATTCTCTTTTAAAGCAAGGGTAACGTTGATCGTCCTATCATCTATAAATAGAAGGATTTTTTCATGCAGGTAGAGGGACTTTTGGATCCCCCACTTGTAACATGTATTTTTTATGGAATAAAATAGATCCACGAGCCCGGGAACAACCTATTCACCTCTGAAGGGGCATGTCCTCTTTACTCCCTCTTTCTCTTTCTCTCCCCCTCTCAATCTTTTTTCCTCGGTCCCAACCCTATCCCTTCGACACGATCTTTCAGACAGATTTGGATCTAACAATAACTTGTCTTATTTTTTACAATCATGTCATTTTGCCATGTCCATTTTTTGTCATGTTCCGTGTACATGCAAATGCCATCATTTTTTTTTTTTTGATATATGACAATATAGGTTCCTGTGTTGGAAACATCTGATGGACCTGTTTTTGAGAGCAATGCAATTGCTCGATATGGTATGTTCACCTTCAAATTTTCTTTTTTTTTAATAATTTAATCTTATTGGGTGTAGATTCCATTATTTAGCACTGAAATTTTCATTATTACACAGTTACTCGATTAAAACCTGATAGTCCTCTCTATGGTTCTTCATTGATAGAATATGTAAGTTTTTATTCATTATATTTTTTATTTTTTCTTATGGAGGCTTTTCTTTAACATTAATCTTCTTATTTGCAGGCTCAAATTGAGCAATGGATTGATCTCTCAGTCACTGAGATTGATTCCAATATTGCGCGGTGGTTTTACCCTAGATTGGGATTTGTTCCTTATGACGCGCAGATCATTTTCAGTTTTATGCAGCTTTATTGTGGAAATTACTATTTTTCTAAGGGGCATTTACATAAATAGCTCTCAATTTATTTATTTACATATCTTACACGTAAACTTTTATATTAACAGACATAGATAGCACTAAAGTGAAATCAATCTTTTGCATACATAGGTTTAAAGCACCGAAGTGTTGTGCATATAAATATAAAAGTTTGAGTTTGAGATATGTAAATACATTATACATAAGAGTTGTGTGCTATATATATATATATACATTATTCTAATTAACTAATAGAGCAGAGCTCAATTCAATGATTTCTTCAGTCCGAGGAACGTGCCATTACTTGCTTGAAGAGGGCATTAGGTGCTCTGAATACTCATCTCGCTACGAAAACTTTTCTCGTCGGCCATACTGTCACATTAGCCGACATAATCATGGTTTGCAACTTGAGTCATGGATTTTCTCGGATCATGACAAAGAGTTTTACGTCGGAGTTTCCTTATGTTGAAAGATATTTTTGGACTCTCGTCAACCAGCCTAATTTTCTCAAAGTTATGGGCGAGTTAAAGCAGGTAGATTCGATCCCCACGATCCAATCTAAGAAACCGGCCAGTCAGCCCAAGGAACCGGCGAAGGCGAAGGAGATGAATAAAGAAATTAAGAAAGAAGTGTTGATGCCTAAAGTAGAAGAAAGTTTTGAAGGAAGGAGGAGGCACCTAAGCCCAAGGCTAAAAATCCTTTGGACCTGTTACCTCCAAGTAAGATGATACTAGATGAGTGGAAAAGGTTGTACTCTAATACAAAGACTAACTTCCGTGAAGTTGCCATTAAAGGTATGTTTTTTATTTTTTATTAATCTTTTTGGGCCATTTACATACATGTCATACAATTTTGATCATTTTTTTTCTAACCTGTTCTTTTATTTTCATATGCTAAGCACTTAAATCATTAACATCTATAAAAAATGACATCATTTCGAATTTTTTTTCTAGTAAAATATAACTTTTTATTCATATGCTTATGATAACAAAGTATTATAGGTGTAAATATTAAACTTTAGGTGTGAGATATATAAATACATCAAAATTTTGTGGTATGTTTGTAAAGTCCTTACATCTGGCACAAACTTGCATTGTATAGTGAATTTAGCCGACTTCTAAATGTGTGTTTGGGCTGCCACAATTTTTTGTAAAGATGATCGTAAAGTTGTGGTGTTTGGTGGGAATTTATATATTTTTTCCCCCAAAAAAATAGACAATAATTTTTGTACAGCTACCACATTTTATAGAAAGTATTTAGAAAACAATTTTTCAAATGGAGCTGTGGTGGCTGTTTAATATGCAGCTCAGGAGAAAGCTATCATGAACAGACCCTTAAGATTTAATCACCTAAATTTATGTTTTTTTTTCAACTTAAAGCAACCAAATGAAACAAAATTTACACTTTGGTACTTGGATGACTGATTTAATGGTAAAAATCCAAGCTTTACATATATTTATTTCTTCAGGATTCTGGGACATGTATGATCCAGAGGGTTACTCCCTCTGGTTCTGCAATTACAAGTATAACGACGAGAACACCGTCTCCTTCGTCACCCTGAACAAGGTGGGCGGTTTTCTGCAACGAATGGACCTTGCCCGCAAGTACGCCTTCGGCAAGATGCTTGTGATAGGATCCGAGCCGCCGTATAAAGTCAAAGGGCTGTGGCTCCCT